TCTGCCCCCAAATCCCAACACTGTCCCCAAATCTACCCCAAAGGCCCCAGATCTGCCCCCCCAAATCTCAACGTTGTCCCCAAATCCGCCACCAGATCCCAACATTGTCCCCAAATCTACCCAGATTGCCCCCAAATCTGCCCCAAAGGCCCCAAATCTGCTCCCCAAATCCCAACATTGTACCCAAATCACACAATCCTCTAGTAACCCAAATGTTCTCCAATGCCCCTAAATTGTCCCCCAATGCCCCGAAACTGTCCCTCAATGCCCCCAGATGTCCTCCAACCCCCCCAAGCACCCTCAAACTGCCCCTAGAAGTCCCCAAATGCCCCAAACTGCCCCAAAACTGCCCCCAAATGGCCTCAAACTGCCCCCAAATGTCCTCCAACCCCCCCCCAAACACCCCCAAGCTGCCCCTAGAAGTCCCCAAATGCCCCAAACTGCCCCCAAATGCCCCGAGATGTCCTCCAAGCCCCCCAAACACCCCCGAGCTGCCCTAAAAATCCCCCAATGCCCCCAAACCGCCCCCCACAGCCCCCAGCTGTGCCCTGACTTGATGCGGACGCCGATGGAGCGGCGGAAGGCCTGAGTGAGCGCCTCGGTGCGGCTCATCTCCAGCGAGAAGATCTCACTGCCAGCAATGGCTGTGAACGGGGTGTCGGGGCCCAACGCCTGCGCCATGCCTGGGGACAAAGGGGGGGGCACCCAGATGGTGACAAAAGTGACAGCAAAGTGACAGAAGGGGGGCCGGGGGGGAGGTGAAGGAGGTAAGCTGCCTAACGCGGGTTGGGAATGAAGGAAAGCGTTGTGCTGCCTCATTTCAAGTGAGCAATTAGCTACTAAATTAACCCTTCATCTTTGGAGGACTGCTACAGCATTTCCTGTTCTATCAGACCCGCTCAATTTACCTGATTTATAAGCAAAAACAATATTATGCTCTCAGCCACGATGGTGTGGAATTGCTCTCCAATTTATACAACCGGATTCTTTAGTATCTCAGTGGAGTGCAAGCAGCCTGAATAATTCCTCTGGGATTGAACTTTGCTCTGCTATTTTCTCTCTAAAAAGTTTGTGTTATGGGCACGTTATTGGTTTATCTGAGGATGTAACTGAAAAATATAGAAGTACTATAATATTTCGTAATTAGTCGGAGAGCACAAACGCCAATAATAGGGAAAGCCTCAGCACAATGTAATTTTAAGGGACTTTAAAAGCACTAGAATAAAATCAAGGTAGATAAAATGGTATATAAAGAGATAAAGCTCTTCTGATAAATATTACTGCAGAGAAATTCTTTTTTAGAAGAACTGATGGAACAAATTTTATGTTTTTAAACGAGACTTGAAAAAACGCGCTGAAGCGAATTGGAAGCAACGCTGACACTTCCACAGGAAAAAGGAACAAATAACCTCACAGGTGATTTTCACCCCGTTTTTCAGTGATTTTCACTCTTTTCCTTTATCCTACGAAAGCAAAGGGGGGTGCTGTACCCATGGCGATGGCGGTCTTGCCGGTGCCCGGCTGCCCGGCGATCAGCACGGCGCGCCCGGCAATTTTCCCCTCCTTGATCATCTCCAGGATGACTCCAGCAGCCCGACGAGCTGCCAGCTGGCCCACCATGCCCTGAGACACCTGGAAAAGGTGGTGGTGGGTCACAAAAATCCCTTCTCCCCCCATTCAAACCCCTTTAGAAACCCCCCNNNTTCCAGACCTGTCGCGGTTCCAAGGCGTCGTCCAAACCCAACCCGCGGATGTGGGAGTGGGCACCTGTGGGGAAAATGGGGTTGGGGGGGTGAGGGGGGGGGTCAGGTGGTTTTTGGGGGGGTGTCACAGATATTTAGGAGGATCAGGGTATTCCAGGGGGGGGCATTAAGTGAGCCCCCCCCAGGTTGTGCTGTTGGCTCTCACCGATGCGCTCAATCCGGGTCACATCCCGCACCTCTGGCACCTTTGTGGTCTGGGGGGGGGAAGGGGGGGTCAGCAGGGTTA